TCAATCAGCCGCGGGATTCAACGCGCGCTTTGTTGCACAATTCGATGCGCGCTTCAAAACGCGCTTCCGCGTCGGAATGAATGCCGTACGCGCTTCATACAGCACGATTCGCCTAGCTCGAAATGCGCAATTCGATGCACAATTCAATGTACAATTAGCCGCGGAATTCAACGCGCGCTTTAGCGCATAATTTGATGCGCGTTTCAAAACGCGCTTCCGCGTCGGAATGAATGCCGTACACGCTTCATACAGCGCGATTCGCATAGCTCTAAACGCGCAATTCGATATGCAATTCAACGTACATTCAGACGCGGGATTCAACGCGCGCTTTGTTGCACAATTCGATGCGCACTTCAAAACGCGCTTCCGCGTCGGAATGAATGCCGTACGCGCTTCATACAGCACGATTCACCTAGCTCTAAATGCGCAATTCGATGCACAATTCAATGTACAATTAGCCGCGGAGTTCAACGCGCGCTTTATCGCATAATTTGATGCGCGTTTCAAAACGCGCTTCCGCGTCGGAATGAATGCCGTACACGCTTCATACAGCGCGATTCGCACAGCTCTAACCACGCAATTCGACGCGCAATTCAACGTACAATTAGCCGCGGAATTCGACGCGCACTTTAGCGCATACTTCGATGCGCGCTTCATATGAATGCCGTACGCGCTTCATACAGTACGATTCACACAGCTCTAAATGCGCAATTCGATGCACAATTCAATGTACAATTAGCCCCGGAATTCAACGCGCGCTTTATCGCATAATTTGATGCACGCCTCAAAACGCGCTTCCGCGTCGGAATGAATGCAGTACGCGCTTCATACAGCATCGTTCTTCGCTTTTAAGCTTTGACGATTCTCGCAATTCCCCTTGTCACTGTGCCGAAATACTTTCGAGTTTTTTGCTCTTTCTTTTCGCTTCTTTCGCCTTCTCCGCCGTTCACGAGCTGATATTCTTAACGGCTCAATTAGTATACGTGTCCACCTCACACGTTCAACCGCGCATGTTCGCGGGAGTCATAGTCGTCCTATTACAAGCATGCGCATTTCGCCAAGGTTCGCCCAAGGTCGGTGACACCTGACGAATGAAATCCGATCGGGTCGTGAGAACAAAGTTGCATCACCTCAAGGTTGCACAAACGTACGTGCGCTGTAAAATTTATTAAACCCAGGCCTGCCTGGAATGTATAGCATTATGTCCTCTGCATGTCATCTATCAATTACGACCTCTGCCTACTGAAACTTGTACATTCCTCTCGCCAACATGGGACCCAAGTGAGTTGCTCCTCGCTGCACCCGCTGTTTACTATTCAGTAGTCGCTACTCGCTATTCACTGCGTTCGTTATACCGCAGGCGCCTTGCCACTATAGATCCGCCTTCTCCGCTGCCGGCGAAACAGCTGCACCAGGAAACAACCACGCCTGAAGCCACCACGAGCTCGGCATCAACCGCAACTCCGACGAGCCCTGCTTCGTGCAGTGCTCCCGCTTCGAGGTAAGGCTTAGCCGTTGCAATCGAGTTCAACACTAGATGTGTTTCGTTTTGCGTTTGTGTTTGTGTTTGCGTCTCTGCGCTTCGTGCAGTGCTCGCGCTTCGAGGTAAGACTTAGACGTTGTAGCCGGGCTCCTCACGAGCCGTGCTTCGTTATGCGTTTGCGTTTGCGTTTGTGTCTCTGTCTTGAAGTGTCTGTAATATAAACTCGCCTTGTACACATTTGATGCGTTGGCTTGGCCGACTACCGGCTGTGCGATTCAACTGCGCATACAGTATGCAACTACATGCTCCATAACGCGTGCGTTTGGTCGTTGTGGACTTCATGCGTGAACGGAGCGCGCTCCCGTAGGTCCTCAGCTGATTTGCATATATACCAAGCACGGCGCTTCTGGTCCGCGCAATGCAGGAATTAGCCATCAGCCAGCACAGGAGCTACGGCCCACTCGCGCGAACAGCGCGCTCTAGTAGCGCGCTCTAGTAGTCGCTACGGCTACTTTGGGAGCGGAGGCCTTAGGCCGATTCGCTGTCCGTCCCTCTGTCCACCCAGTCGCCAGTTCAATCCCCAGCGCGCGCGCGTCTTTTTTTTTTTGCGCGCTTTTTTTCCTTTTTTTTTCTTCGTATGCTTCATATGCTTCATATGCTTCATATGCTTCATATGCTTCATATGCACATATGCACGTATGCACATATGCACATATGCTTCATATGCTACATCTGCACGTCTGCACATATGCACATATGCACATATGCACATATGCACATATGCTTCATGTGCACAAATGCTTCATATGCAAGCATGTGCCACATGCGATGTGCAATCATATGTGATCTGCAAGCATATGCGATCTGCAAGCATATGCGATTTGCAAGCATATGCCGACACATGCACATATGCACATATATGCACATATGCTTCATATGCACAAATGCTTCATATGCAAGCATGTGCCACATGCGATGTGCAATCATATGTGATCTGCAAGCGTATGCGATCTGCAAGCATATGCGATCTGCAAGCATATGCCACATTCGATGTGCAAGCATATGCAATCTGCAAGCATATGCGATCTGCAAGCATATGCCAGATGCGATCTGCAAGCATCTGTCTCGTTCGATGTGCAAACATATGCGATCTGCAAGCATATGCGATCTGCAAGCATATGCGATCTGCAAGCATATGCGATATGCAAGCATATGCCATATTCGATGTGCAAGCATACGCTTTTTTTTCTTTCTTTTTCTTCGTATGCTTCGTATGCTTCATATGCTTCATATGCTTCATATGCACATATGCACATATGCTTCATCTGCACATATGCACATATGCTTCATCTGCACATCTGCACATCTGCACATCTGCACATATGCGCATATGCACATATGCACATATGCGCATATGCACATATGCACATATGCACATATGCACATATGCACATATGCACATATGCACATATGCTTCATATGCACAAATGCTTCATATGCAAGCGTGTGCCACATGCGATGTGCAATCATATGTGATCTGCAAGCATATGCGATCTGCAAGCATATGCGATTTGCAAGCATATGCCGACACATGCACATATGCACATATGCACATATGCACATATGCTTCATATGCACAAATGCTTCATATGCAAGCATGTGCCACATGCGAGGTGCAATCATATGTGATCTGCAAGCATATGCGATCTGCAAGCATATGCGATTTGCAAGCATATGCCACATTCGATGTGCAAGCATATGCGATCTGCAAGCATATGCGATCTGCAAGCATATACCACGTTCGATGTGCAAGCATATGCGATATGCAAGCCTATGCGATCTGCAAGCATATGCAAGCAGATGGCGCATAGTCATTCCGCGCAATGCAGGAATCAGCCATCAGCCAGCACAGGAGCTACGGCCCACTCGCGCGAACAGCGCGCTCTAGTACAATGGTAGCCGTAGCAAAAGTAGCCGTAGCGACTACGTAGTAGTCTAGCGGAGGCCTTGGGCCGAATCGCCGTCCGTCGCCGTAGCTCCTACGAAGTAGGAAAGCGGAGGCCTTAGGCCGATCCGGCGTCCGTCTGTCCACCAAGTCGCCGGTTCAATCCCCAGTGCGCGCGCGTCTTTTTTTTGCGCGCTTTTTTTTCTTTTTTCTTCGTATGCTTCATATGGACATATGCACATATGCAATATGCTTCATATGCACATATGCACATATGCTTCATGTGCACATGTGCACATATGCTTCATATGCACAGAAGCACATATGCACATATGCACATATGCACATATGCACATATGCACATATGCACATATGCTTCATATGCACATATGCACATGTGTTTCATATGCGCAAATGCTTCATCTGCAAGCATATGCCACATGCGATGTGCAATCATATGTGATCTGCAAGCATATACGATCTGCAAGCATATGCGATCTGCAAGCATATGGGATCTGCAAGCACATGCCAGATGCGATCTGCAAGCATATGCCGTAGCATAGCATAGCGCGTACGGCATAGCATAGCGCGTACGGCATAGCGTAGCATATCATAGCGCGTACGGCATAGCGTAGCATATCATAGCGCGTACGGCATAGCGTAGCATAGCATAGCGCGTACGGCATAGCATAGCGCGTACGGCATAGCGTAGCATAGCATAGCGCGTACGGCATAGCATAGCGCGTACGGCATAGCGTAGCATAGCATAGCGTGTACGGCATATCATAGCGCGTACGGCATAGCGTAGCACAGCATAGCGCGTACGGCATAGCATAGCGTAGCATAGCATAGCGCGTACGGCATAGCATAGCGCGTACGGCATAGCGTAGCATAGCATAGCGCGTACGGCATAGCGTAGCATAGCATAGCGCGTACGGCATAGCGTAGCATAGCATAGCGCGTACGGCATAGCGTAGCATAGCATAGCGCGTACGGCATAGCATAGCGCGTACGGCATAGCGTAGCATAGCATAGCGCGTACGGCATAGCGTAGCATAGCATAGCGTGTACGGCATATCATAGCGCGTACGGCATAGCGTAGCATAGCATAGCGCGTACGGCATAGTATAGCATAGCATAGCATAGCGCGTACGGCATAGCATAGCGCGTATGGCATAGCGTAGCATAGCATAGCGTGTACGGCATAGCGTAGCATAGCATAGCGCGTACGGCTAAATTTGCGTGCTAGACTCCGCAAGCTTAATTTTCTTCCGCCGGTGCGTAACACTGCACAGCACGCAGCTGCACGTGCCGACCCGCAGGTGACGGCACAGCGGCGGCTGCATGACACTGCACAGTGTACACGTTTTGACATACACGCCGTACGCGTCGTATGCGCTATGCCGTACGCGCTATGCTGTGCCGTACGCCCTTAAGCGCCGTGCAACGCACGCAGCGACGGAGCTACGGCCCTCTCGCGCGAACAGCGCGCTCTAGTCCGTCTGTCCATCTGTCCACCTCGCGCCGGTTCAATCCCCGGCGCGCGCGCGTCTATTTTTTGCGCTCTTTTTTTTTTCTTCGTATGCTTCATATGCTATGTTTCATATGCTTCATATGCACATATAAACATATAGGACCACAATTCGATGCGCGCTTCAAAACGCGCTTCCGCGTCGGAATGAATGCCGTACGCGCTTCATACGGCGCGATTCGCACAGCTCTAAACACGCAATTCGACGCGCAATTCAACGTACAAGTAGCCGCGGAATTCGACGCGCACTTTGGCGCATAATTCGATGCGCGCTTCATATGAATGCCGTACGCGCTTCATACAGCACGATTCACACAGATCTAAATGCGCAATTCGATGCACAATTCAATGTACAATTAGCCGCGGGATTCAGCGCGCGCTTTGTCGCACAAGTAGCCGCGGAATTCGACGCGCACTTTGGCGCATAATTCGATGCGCGCTTCATATGAATGCCGTACGCGCTTCATACAGCACGATTCACACAGCTCTAAATGCGCAATTCGATGCACAATTCAATGTACAATTAGCCGCGGAATTCAACGCGCGCTTTACCGCATAATTTGATGC